GGCAAGGTGCTGTGCTGCCGAGGCTGGTGAGTGGGCTGCTCGGGGCTCTGCCTGCAGCCACAGGGCGTCCATCGGGCCATGGGCTCTGTACCTAACAGCAAGGAACGGAGCCAAGGTCCATCCCGAGTTCCAGCAGTTGCTTCGCCTGCCAGCGTGGTTGGGTGGGCGGCAGGAACCAGCCCTGCACCCTAGCATGGCTCGGCCACAGGACTGCTTGGGTGTCAGGGTTCAGTTTTTCCTTTTTTATAACTGCTGCTTTTAAGAACAGTGCCTTGTCACTGCTGAACATCTCGAGATGGAACAGGGCCTGACCCTTTCCAGTGGTGCCCAGTGACAGGACAAGGGGCAACGGGCACAAACTGAAGCAGAGGAAGCTCCAGCTGAACATAAGGAAGAACTTCTTCCCTCTGAGGGTGACGGAGCCCTGGCCCAGGCTGCCCAGGGAGGTTGTGGAGTCTCCTTCTCTGGAGATATTCCAGCCCCGCCTGGACGCGGTGCTGTGCCCCCTGCTCTGGGTGACCCTGCTTGGGCAGGGGGTTGGGCTGGGTGACCCACAGAGGGCCCTGCCAACCCCGACCATGCTGGGATTCTGGGATTCTATGATTCTCCCACCACCTCAACACCAGGCACTTCCACAACGCCTGGCCACCTCCACGGCCACCTCCACCTTGGCCAAGACAGCAAACGCTTTGCGAGGTGAAAATGAATTGCTTTCTAAGAATGCACTGACTTCTCTTCCTGCAGGGTCACAGTCTATTTGCCAACGTACGTGCTGAGAGCTTCAAACTGGTGGAAAGTTTTAAAAGAAAAAAATCTTCGTGTTACTTCTGCTTGGCTAGAAATGCTAACAACCAGCTCTGGGAATATGACAGCATTACTAAAGAAAAACAACAAACATAACTTATGCATGGGTGTCTTATGCTGGCCCTCCTCCCCCTTCTCTTTCCAAAGCTGCGTAGCAGCGCTCCTTCTACAAACTACCTCGTCGTTAAAAATTCACCTCAAACCACCAGCTGCCATTTAAAGGATTTCCTGAGACTCCAGAGCCACGCTTTGGTCCAACTAAACCATACACACGTTTCCAAAGGCAAGGCAAAAGTGGTCTCGAAACATTCACAAGAAGAAAAGGAGAGCAGATGAGTTCCATCACGGGAAACGTCCCGCCTCGTGTGAAACTCCTCTGCTCCATATTAGGCTTCTCGGAAGGTTTCTGCACACCCTACTCCACGCACTGACCTTTGAGCATCTCTAACGTCAAGACAGGCAGGAAAGAAGTTGCACACCATTAGAGAAAAATAGCTAAGAGTCGTACTACCCACTTGTGCCTAATCTTTAGCAATAAACAAGAAGAAAAAGGGGACCCTCTTTTTGTAACGCCCTGCCCTTGGTGCTCTCCGGAGGAATCACAGAATCACAGAATCACAGAATAGTAGGGGTTGGAAGGGACCTCTGTGGGTCATCTAGTCCAACCCTCCTGCCCAAGCAGGGTCACCTACAGCAGGCTGCACAGGACCTTGTCCAGGCGGGTCTTGAATATCTCCAGAGAAGGAGACTCCACAGCCTCCC